AATAACTATTTTCTATGACACATGGAATTTTATTTTAATTGATGTGATTTTCATTTTTATCGAATTCCGCATACTGATTAATGGCAAAGGATTTTATCATATATTTCATTCTCTATTTTCGTTGTTTATGTTATCTAGACATTTTAAATGAAATAAAATCCGATCGTATCATGGCAATTCACAGAGAGAGAAAAAAAAAGATTATGATTGAATATTTAGACGTGAAGCAAAACTTTATCTTTTACTTGTCAAACGAAATCTTGCTAATTTTTAATACATATTACAATTTATAAATCTGAAAAAATTTTTTTCAAGTATTAAAATCAGTATGTGACTCATATTTACAATGACTTGCGAATACTAGGAATCAAATTCTCTACTCAAATCACTCTTTGCATTTACAAGAGTTTAGAAAAAAAAATTTATGAAAATGATACAAAAATATTTCTACTATAAAAAATAAATGAATAGTTAAATTATATCACTAATTACATTTTATATTAATTTAGTAAATGATTAAAATTTTTATCTGAAAACATTTTGATTCTCATCAAGATTTTTGAGAGAACTATTCTAACTGATAATTTGCGTTTGATTTCATGTTTTATTGATTGTTAGAGCCTGTGATGGTGCAGATAAAAGTTCTAAAAGGATTTATGTCATTAACGTTTTTTCTTGATTTATCATCATTTTACAGAATTGTCAGCCTATTAAAGAAAATTAAATCTAAATATTTTAGTCTGAAAATATATCGCCGAATAAGATTGTATATCTACCATCTCCTTAGGTCGTAATTTCAATAGATGAAAAAGATCGATCATGAAATTCTGCATATTGATGTTGATTTATTTTTCTTTTTTTTTATTAAATCCAAAAGCAAATAATTTTCAAGGACTAACTAGTCTTATGAGGTTTATCAGTTTTTGACGTTCTCGATGATAACCATTATTTTTTCTTTTCTCAACTCAATATTCAAATTAATAGCGTCGATCGATGTAGTTTTTCATGCTCTACTAAATGACATATCGATCATGTTCATCGATTAGTTAATATAAGGTCAGACAAGTGCAATATTTGACCTACATAAACTAATCGATGAACATGATCAATATGTCATTTTGTAAAGCATGAAAAATTAAGAATACTATAGTTATTATTCAAAACGTCCAAAAATGATAGATTCCCAAAGACTTTTTATTCTACGAAAAATTTCTTTTTGATTTCAGCAAGCAAAAATGGATGACTTTTTTTTCTATCAAGAAAATCGCTAGTTTCTCACAATAGATTCAAACAAGTTCGATTGTTTTTTTTCTTTGAGAGAAGACACCATCCATTTTTGCTAAAGCTTTTCAGAATATCATTAAAAAAAAATCTATTTCTGGGTAAATTTTCTTTGCAATAGATTAAAAATTCACTAAAATAATCATAACTGTGTTTGATGATACAAATCCTTTTCGATGAACTCTAACAATCAACAAAAACATGATTAGTTAGTTTTATTCATACACCAACTTTAATAACCTTATAAAATATTCCCTTTCGAATGTTACCTTCATACAAACATGTTCTTTTTCTTTCTTATTTAAATAACTGTTTGATACAAAATGGCGCAAGTAATCATTACGTGTAGTTTCGATAAAGAACAAAAAAAGAAAAGTTGCAATGAAATTTCTCCAGGGAACTTGTTCTCTATTAAACTAAAATATACTCTTTTTTTTTTTTTTTCGTTCGTAGACATTAAACACTTACACATATATTCTTATGCAATCAAATAGAAACGATATGATTGAGTCACTAAATAAATATAAACTCAAAGGACGAAAGAAAAAAAAAATGTATATAACATATACATCTTACTCTTACACATGCATTCGTTAGAATTTATTTCAACGAATGCAATTTATTGGTAACAGCTTCCAATTTTTTTTCTTTTTTATTTACCAGCGCCTAACAGCTGACAGCGAACAAAATGTCGTCTTTTTTTCTTTTTTAACAATAAAGCAAGACTTGACACATAGGCAAAAAAAAGGGCATATTGAATAGTTATTTATAGTTTTACTATTCAAAATTATCTTTTTCATTTGGCTTGATAGCAATATTAATTCAATCAACAGCATTGATTGTCATAACATAATTAGAAAATTACATCGAATGTATAAAAGAATTCGTTTTATTTACAATCCTTAATCATCGTATTGATTTTATTATCGATATCAAGACTGTCAAAACAATCTTTTATTAATATTTGATTTATTTTTAATCAGAGTATTCGGCATATTATTCATATTATTTTTAACCTTCATATGATATTGTTGATTTTTTTTTTGTCCAAAGAAATTCAAAGATGAACAATGGCCTAAAATCAAAGATGTCTTCAAATATATAACACCAACCTGTTTAGTAGTAAGTGCGGCAGCCCACATTTGCTGTAAACGTATGAATCGATCCTTTACGTGCTCTCAAATCATGAACAAAATTTTATTATTATCCAAGGTATGAACTTTTTATGCAATCTACTTTACTCAATGCTTAAGTTGTTACATATGTAATTATGTGGTACTATCATACATGAGAAAAAATTTCTTTGAAAATTTCATTGTCATTAAAGCAATCTGGTGGTACACTCATGAATATTTATTGCAATTATCGACGAACCAATGTTTATGGTTTATCAATATAAATATTATTCTCATCAGCATGAGATCGTTCGTCTTTCATCTCTATCGACGGATTAAACAGGTCAATTCTTCTTACTCACCAAAACTCCATTAGTTATCGACGCATACTGTTAGACATTCATACAAATTTGAATTAAATAATTCATCGAAATTAAAAAGGATGGGTTTTTTTAATGGTTTGCTTAATATCTATATGTACTATTTGACATGTATTAATGAATAAACTATTTCGAAGTTATGTCAATCAGGACCATTCAATATGATGTTATTTCATTTATAATACAATGAAATTTTCTTTTAACTTTAATTTTCTAAATTTTGATAACTAATCAACGAATGTATTAATATAGGGAGGCGGGCCTTCCTTTTTACATGTACTTTTTATTTTGATTTTTTTTTAAATAAATTTCAATTTCATTCAGATTATTCTTTCGATTTTCAGAAGTAAAATTATATTTTTTACAATAGTGGATAAAAGTCTCTCATATCCATTATCCTTTCTCGACTACGAAAAGTCTGAACATACACTGACACTAAAGTGTAAACTGTTCAAACTGATATCGGATCAAATAATGGAATTTCGATCTCAAAATTTTGCTTATACACGATTGGAAAAAATATTATTCCAGGGGGGTAACGCTATAATTTCAAATAGAAGACATAATACATTTTATATCAAATGAAAGCTCGTTAAAAATGGGATTTATTGGTATTAAATAGTGAGGGTTATGAAAACCTTTTAATGTCGAGCTTAATAAATTTTCAGAAATTTTATACTTTTTTTGGAATGGAAAATTAAAGTACTAGTGATTCAAGAATGGAGTAAAATGTTTTTCTTGAATATTTTTACACGGTTCGATAGAGCTCGTCGAGCTCTATAAAACTGTATACATTAACAAAATTTTTAAGACACTTTTTTTGCGATAAAAAATTCAAAAAACTATTTGGAAAATCTTAGAAAACATGAAAAAAATTCATATTTTTCATGTGGAAGAACAACACTTACTTTTTCAATAAAAGTAGCTTTTTTCATTGTTTTTACTCCGTCAGGTGTTTCGAAACATACTCATTAGACGCAGCTTTTCACACTGCATCGAACGAGTATATTTCAAGACGTCTGAGGTAGTAAAAACAACGAAAAAAGCTACTTTTATTGAAAAATTGAGCGTGTTTCTTCAATTTGAAAAAAAAAAGAGTTTTTAAATGTTTTGAGGTTTCCCGAGTAGTTTTTTGAACTTTTTATCTCAAAAAGATGCCTCAAAAAATTTTTAACATGCACAGTTTTGTAGAGCTCAACGAGATCTATCAAACCATCTAAAAATATTCAAGAAAAAAAATTGACTTCATTTTTGAATCAGTGACACCTTGATTTTCCACTCCAAAAAAATATAAAATTTCTGAAAACTTCTTAAGTTTGACATTAGAAAGTTTTTACAAGCCTCACTATTTAGTATCAATAAACCCCATTTTTGACGAGCTTTCATTTGATATAAAATTCATTATGTCTTCTATTTGAAATTATAGCGTTACCCCCCTAGAATAATATTTTTTCCAACCGTGTAGATACGCCTAGGAATATCCTGAAAGTTTCAGTCGAAAAAAAAACACATGTTCCTTTGTTAAGATATTAAATTTCTTAGAAAAAAATTCAGTAAAACAATTATAACTCGGCTTCAAATGCCTTCTTTTAGGACTTTTCTTCCCACATTGAGACTTCCTTGTGATTCTCAAAACAGCCGCTATCAGTGTGAGTAGTTTATTCTTTTGTGTATTAAGGAACTGCGGGTCATTTCAGACTCGGATCAAAAGTTTTATTGTTGTATAATAGTCGAGGTACGGGAGGGTGTGAGAGACTTGTATTCACGACTGTACCTATGATAGAATCATCATTTCAAAGATGTAAACTCGTAAAAAAAAGTATTTTATGATAAGATTGTTTTATCAATAATGAAATAATCAGATTTTTAGTTTATGTTACATTAAACTTAGGACAATTAGATTTGATAATTAATTTTTCAACTTTTTCCTTTTAATAGGAAAGAGATAAAAACATTCGAATTATAATACTATTCGTCGATAGAATTTTTTTTCTTTTCTTCTTATGAAAACTAAAAGAAATATGTAAGAAAGTGATTGTTTAATTGGCTTTTATAACTAATTGATCGATCCTATTTTTCAGAACAATTCTTTTGATTAGAATTAATTTAAGCTATTTTAAGTAAATGAGATTTAGTTTTATATAAAAAAAGAAGTTATTCGAATATATCAATAACATATTCTTGCTCAACATTTTACTATTTCATCATAATTTATACTTTATCAATGGCTTTTTGTAATTCAGTAAGTTAAATATAATTTAACTTGTTTTTGGATAAATTAAATAATAAATATTGATATAGTGTTTTCGTCCTGCTGATTCATCAGTATTAACATATACTAAAAATTTATCAATAAAAACTCTTCTACGTCGTCAAATATTTAAGAAATCTTTAACAATTACAAAATGTCAATCATCACTTCTTAATCGTTCAATTCATAAACAAGAATCAAATCGTAAATTTAAAAAAATTAAAAGGTAAATATATCAATTTTCTTTTTTTGTTTTTTGTTATTTATCTTTTTATAGATCAAATATTATTCGTGAAATTAATTCAAATTTTGAAAATAATCAAACAATAAATAATTATGATATGACTATATTTCATGATGATGAACTTGATGATACACAAATTGCTTTATCTCATCGACAATCAAAAAAAATTCCACGTTGGGCTAGAAGTAAGTTTGTTTATTAGAAAATATTTTTTTTTTTATTAAATGAAATATAATATTTAGAAAGTCAAATTGAATTAGCTATTATTAATCAAATTTATTATAATGATAAAAAACCTGAAGATATATTTGGTTCAATTCATCTTGATCGTGCACATGAAATGATTAATTCAATTGATTTATGGAATACAGAACTTCCTTTTGGTTTTTCATATGAAAATTTTCCACCGAATTTTGTTTAATTTTTTTTTTATTTTTAATTTATTAATAAATTATTTCTTGTAATTTAATTCAAATTTTAAACTAAAGAAAAATGAAATAATACATTACATATCATAATAATCTAAAATATAAATAAGTTTCGACATGAGAAGATGAATTTTTGAAATTTATATGTGTTATATTTTCTAAGCATTAGTGGCCGATATCGGTTAAATTTCTGTGATCCAACTCAAGAAGAACAACTTTTTTTGCACGCGGAACCGGACTCTGCTATCGATTACTTTTCTCTTTCTCATGAGAAAATCTGTTTTTTTTTCTCACATTTTATACTTGAAAAGAAATGTTATGTCCTTGATATTTCACTATTTGAACAACACGATTGTATGATAACATTCTTTTTTTTAGTTTGTCTGTCTTATCTTATGTATACAATCGGCGAACTTCTTATATCACTATTGAAGAAATAGTGCAGTCGTTATGCATTATTATAAAAGTAGAAGAAAAGATCATACGATATATAACTTGTTGCGCTCTTATAGAACTTTTGAATGAAAAAAAAATGTTCAGTGTCTTTTATTTCTATGAGATTTACAGAAACAAATAGTCTAGAGTAGAGCAGAATTCATCATAGACTTCAAATAGTTCTTTCTAGGACATAACTGGATCGCAAAGGCTAAAGATCGTCTCGATTTCTCACTTGGAATCCATCTGTGAGAGCTGGAATTTAGATACTGTTTGACATGCCTACTTTGTATCTTCTTCCATTCGAATACAAAAAAAAAACACTGAGTGGACGTCAAAAAACACAAAGAAGTTTTTAGTAAAATCACCCGTGTACTATGTTTCAAAAGAAAAATTCAAATAGTGCAAAACAAAAAACAAGTTTCGACTTGATTGAACGTACTATGCTGGAGCATATTCATTTAGCTAGTGTTCCTTCTTATAAAAAGTGTTTCATCGTGTGATGTTAGATGAAACACTTTTGAGAAGAGAAAACATTAGCTAAACGAATACTATATCCGACAGTAAAGTGACTGGATGAGTTTTGACATATTAATAGATAGCGCTAATGATCAATATTGATTTTTTAAATTAATAAAGATTTATTTGTTTTGAATTTAATATTCACTTTAAGATGTGTGATGTGAAAAAAAGAAATAAACTTATTTTCTTTCCAATAGATAAATTCAAGATGTCGCTATGAACATTAAAAGACAAAGAACTGACCTTTAAGTACATTTATTTTCTAAATTGACTAATTGGATTTTATTTAAAAAAAATTTTGTTAATTTTTTTTTTATCTGAATCCTAATAAAAAGATAAAAGGTATATGTTTAACTCTCGTTCGTTCTATAATTTTAATCTTGATATAAGAATTTTGTTCTTTTCTTTTGATGAATAATTATATAAAATTATTTTGATTTGTTTTCTTAGATATAATAATAATAATAATAATGACAGATCTTGATAGTACAGAAATACTAACAGCTGATGAAAGTCTTACTGAAAGTTCATCAACGATTGATACTGTATGTTTTATTATTCATTTCTTTTATTAAATTCATTTTTTTTTCTATTATCTATAGAAAGCTTCTTTAAAAATTCTTAGCGGTAGTGATTTAAATACATATGATATAAATAGTATGTAGTATTATTCTATTTTCAAATGTAAGATTTTTGTTTTAGAGGAAACAATTATTGGTCGTTCAAATCCATCGGATATTGTTATTCCTGCTCCGGTATGATAGATTCTATGGATATAGAATTTTTATTTTTTTTCATTTTTTAGTCACTTTCAAAACAACATGCAAAAATAACAATAAATAATGGTCAATATTTTATAATTGATCTTGCGAGTAGTAATAAAACATTTCGTAATAAAGTAAAATGTAAAAAAATAAAATATTGATTTTATATAAATAAAGTTTTTTTTTTTAAAAAACAAAAAGATTCAACTTCAACCAAATATTTGTTATGCATTACATAATGGTGATGAAATTAAATTTGGTGATGTTATTTGTTCATTTCAAGTATTTTGTTTCTTTTTATTGAGATATAAATTTAAGGTTTTTTTTTTTTTGTCTTGATTTAGACTTCAATAGAACCAAAAGTTGATATGAATTGTAAGAAAATCTTTAATATGATTTATTTCTAATTGAAAATTAATTTTATTTTAGTACCAACACAAACAATTACTGATTCATATGATGATCAAGAACCAATACAACCAATGAAAGTTTGGAATAAAAATAACAATGATGGAAATGGTAGATTTTCGTTTTTTTTTAATAGAGTGATAGAAAAAAGTTTCGAAACAACGATTTTTTTTCGTAATGTTAAGCACGTAGCTCCAATTCAAATAGTGATTTTAATAGTCAATGGAGTTTTCTATCCAATAGATGAACAATGATGACAAGGCTCATAAAAAACCGAACATGGTATTTTTTAGGTTCTAGAAGACTTTGCCTGAGTGATTTTTGAACGGTGTCATCTCAAAGAGTACAAAATGAGGGGTCGCCGAGTTTTCTACGAATTACAAGCATCACAAAAATTATGACAAAGGTATTTTTAAAAAATTTCGTTTTTTCATGATGTAACTTTTTATGAGAAGGTTGTAGAAAACTCGGCGACCCCTCATTTTATGCTCTTTAAGATGACACTGTTCAAAAATAGCTCTGGTAAAGTCTTCTAGAATTCTGAAAAATACCATGTTCGGTTTTTTATGAGCCTTGTCATCATTGTTCATCTATTGGATAGAAAACTCCATTAGCTATTAAAATCACTATTTGGATTGGAGCTACGTGCTTAACATTACGAAAAAAATCGTTGTTTCGAAACTTTTTTCCACCACTTTACACTTACATCCTAACATAATGCCATATTACTAAACACTGACATATACGAATTAATTAAAGAAATAAGGCTTTTTATAAGAATTAATAAGATCAATTTAATGCCCTAAGTCTTTTATTATATAAGTTAAAAATTTATTTCTAAAGAATTTATTTAATTAGATGTAACACCAAAACAAAATGGTATGAATGAATCTTTAAATAAATCCTCATCTTCATTTGCTCCAACTTCATCATCAATAATAACAAATAATGATGATGATGATGATGATGATGATAATAATAATCTTATAATTGGTTCAACAACATTACCAGCAACTGTTCCATTAATAATTGAATCAAAAGATACAAATAATGATAAACAACGTGAAATGATTTCATCATTACAAATAGAAAAAAATATTTCAAATGAACAAATCAAAATAACAGAAATGGATGAAACATCATCTTCAACTAATCAATCAAAAATAATTGATTTATCACCAATTGAAAATATTCAACAAACAGATATGGAAGCATCAGAATCTTCGAAACAAAATGAAAATTCTAATGAACAAATGGAAAATTTATCACCAAAACCAAGTATAAAATCTACTGAACAACTTGAAGATATTGATAATATAACAGATGATACAATATCAAAAGAATCAATTCAAGATATAAATAAACAAGAATTTATTAAAGAAAATCCATCTGATGAACAAATGGATACAGATCAAACAACAGGTAGAAAGAAATTATTTATAAGAATTTTATTTTTATTTCTATTTAGAATCTCCATCAATGGTTATCGATGATAAACAACAAGAAAATACTAATGAAATGGAAGATGAAATTGCATCAACAACACCAAATACTGATGTTATGAATGTTGATGAAACAGAAAAAGCAAATATTGAAGTTCCAACAACTGTTATGGTAACAAAAAAAAAAAAAAAACTTCTCATTGAATATAAATTATTTTTGTCATATTATTAGGAAGAAGAAGAAGAAGAAGAACAACCAGCATCAGATGTAAAAAAATCTCCAACACCATCACCAATGGAACCAGAAAAAAAGATCGATGAATCTACTCGTAAGTTTTCTATACTATTGAATTTACAAAGAGATTATCAAAACTTTCATAACCAATAAACCATATCTCATTAAGTTTCTCATTCAAGCATAGATCCACGAGGAAATCAAAAGCAATTATTAAGCAAAACGAGATATATGTAGTACTAGCGGAATCAGGATTTTTTTGCTAGGGGAGTGCTCAGCCTTCTCGACGAATCTCTGAAATCTTCTAGTGAGACTTTTCAAGGAAAAATAACATCTCTTAAAAACTTCACTAGGTACAGCTCATCGAGTTCAACCAGTGAGTTCTTTCACTAAGGGAGCAGGCTGAGTCCTCTCTAGTTCCTTTTCGCTACTGATATGTAGACTTCTAGAGAAAGACTTCCTCTATCTAATAAGTTCTATTCTACGTGTAACGGTTTTTGATAGAAGAGTCATTAGTGCAGACGAAATAATGCTTTATTTAATTACTTCGTATCATTAATCGCATCATTTACATACAAAGCACACCTTTGTATACGTAACAAGAGTCAAGGGAGCAAAATACTACACGATATATAGTTATAATAGAAAGTTGAATAAAGTATGTGATAAGGAAAGGTTAAGCATTACGTATGAAAAGTCAATTCAACCAAACAATGACAGCAGATAATAGTGCACAATAGACTCAACTGACAACGTCACACTACGTACCGTTGATAGGTCAATAGATGGCGCCACATGCACCGTAGAAGATGATGTCATCTATTGGCGTATTAAGAGTACATGGTAGGACTTGATTATGCGTCCACTATAATACAGCAGTATTCTTTCTCTAGAAGCCTACATATATTCCTTTCTGTAGTCAAAAACTTACAATAGCTTTTATTTTATTTTACTTTTATGCTTAGAAATATTTTTGAAAGATGTAAGAATATTTTGATTGCTTTATTCTTTTTGGATGTATGAAGAAAACACACCTGTTGGGTTGGTTCCGGATTCGGATCCGAAAATTTTGAACTCGGCGGACTCAACCATCCACGCACATCTAATAGGTCTGAAACCATCACAATATTCTTACATTTTTAACGAGTGTATAAGTATAAAAGTCAAACGAAATAAATTTAATTTCTCGTGGGCATCTCCTTCCCTAGTAACCGAAGGCAGCAGGCGAGAGACTTCATTAGCGACGGGAAAAAAGTGTTGAATAGTATTAACAACACGACTTAGATGGTTCAAGAATCTTTGAATTTTTATTTCATTTGATAGCTATTGGTGTATCTGAAGAAATCCCATCATCAATTGCTGATGTTGAAGAAGAATCAACTGCAATTTCTACTCGTGGTGTTGCACGAAAAAATGTTCGTCGTGCTCGAACTCGTCGTGGTGGTGGAACAACAACACGAGCTCGTGTTATTAGTACACGTTTACATGGTGGACGTTCTCATCCAATATTACCTCCTATTATTGATAATCAAGGAAATAATACAACATTAGAAGAAACAGTAAGCACTGAAACAGAAGAAACACCAAAAAAAACAAATTTAACATCTGAAATTAAATCAAAAACACCTAAAAAAACTGGAATTATGACTCCAACTGAACAATCTAATCAAACAAATATCCCTTCAAATATTCGAGTTTCAGGTAGAAAAAAAAGAAATTTTTTTTTTTTTTATATTGATTTTATTTAAATAATTTTTTTTTATTAATAGCTCGAATTAAAGAACGTACATCTAGTGGTCGGAATCGGCAATATCCTTATACGGATGATTATGTTGATTTAGATGATCTTGAAAAACAATCAAAAGCTCATACGACAACAACAATAACAACAACAACACCAGGTCGTAAATCAAATCGTGGACGTTCTTCAACAGCATCACAAAAACGAATTAATCTTCGGCAACAACCTATTGATGTAGCAGAAAGTTCCGAACCAAAAGATACAAAAAATGTTTATGAACAAATAGATACTATTACTGAAAATAAAGAACCAATATCAAAAACTTCTCCTCGAAAGAGAAAAAGCACAACACCTGTAATAGCAGTTGCTACTAAACGAAGGTTGGAATTAATAAAGAATTATTTTAATCCCTATTTTACAGATAGTTTCAACTGATATTTTATCACAAATTTTGTCACTATGTAGATCTTGATATGCATAGGAAAACTCAAGCAAGATTAGATACTTCTTTGTTTTTTCATAATATTGAAGTCGACTTTTCAATCCTTTTGGTCATAGATATCCAGTTCCAAGAAAACGGTCGGTATAGTAGAGGAAAAAAAAATGATCATTTCCCAGCGGAAAAAAACGGTTCGTAAAAAAGGTATGACGACTTACAGTGAAAATCAATGCAGTAATTTGCTGTTTAAGATGCCGTTTTCAATGATCGTTTGTAGAGTCCATCAGATTGATCTCGGATCCGAAAATTTTGGATTCCATGGACTCCAGTAATCTGAGAAATATGTAAGGTGCGCTAGTACATCGAATACAAAAATCGGAAAAAAAAGTGTCCTATCTTCGAGACAATTATCCAATTCCGATTTAGAAATGTCATTGAGAATATTAAAGTATAGTTCGGGCAAGTCCGAGGTCTTATAAATTTGATCAACCGGGTCTCATAAAGTTTGATCGATTACCTATTTTGACTGCTAGTACATTATTATTAGAACTGTGACAGCTCACAGTTCTATACAAATAATGTTAAGTGATCAGTTCTTGTCATATAGACTCGATGTACTGACAATGGTTGTGTAGCAATTCTATTCATGAAACATGTTCAAAGAAGTGAGAGGTATCACCCGATGTGATAAAAACCGCTATTTTACCGGTCCGGTTACCGGCTCCCATCGCTACAATTTACTGCGGTAAATCGCCAGTTTTGATGAATACCATGGTTTACCACTAAAATGAACCGGTTCGCCGATGATTGTTGACATTTAGTTGCTCCAAATCATCGATTTTGCTATTTTAAATGTTTTTTTTTCTTGTACCTTTCCATATCATAAAAATGCTCAGAAAAACCGCCGGTTTTACCGATCCGGTTACCGGCTTCCGTTACTGCAATTTACCACTAAAAACTGTCCGGTATTTTCAATATGAAACACGTCTAACTGTTATCACTCACTAAAAAAAGTTATGTTATGAAATGAAATTTAAAGAATGTTATACATATCGATTGAAGTTTATCTATGAATATAAAATTATTTATTTCAGTCGTCCAACAATACCACAAACAGTACCCACAATGCGTACTCGTCGTCAGCAACCTACTACTGTTGAAATATCTCCAACAGTTACTAAGTCTAATAAACGTACAACTGGTGGACAACAACAACAACAACAACAACAAGCAGCTACTACCATTACGACACCAAAACGTGGTCGAAAATCAACAAAATTAACTACAACAGTTGAAAAGTCACCAGAAAAATCAAATCCAACTACTACTGATCGACCTGTTCGTATTGCTCTAAGTAGTCATTTGGTAAAAAGAATTTAATCAAAAATTTATTTTTTTAATTGAATAAAATTTCTTTTAGAATTTTGATCAAAATCATATTGATATATTACGTAAAATAGGTTTTGAAATAATGGATGAATCATGTCAAGTTGATGCTCTTGTTGTTGATCGTATAAGACGTACAAAAAAATTTTTTATGTGTCTTGCACGTGGTGCACATATATTATCACCTCTATGGATTGAAACAATGATAAAAGAAAATCGTTATATACCATATGATAAATATTATTTAGAAGATACAAATGCTGAAACACGTTATGGTTTTAATTTACGTGAAAGTGTTCGTTTAGCTAAACAAGGTCCTATATTTGAAAATTATAAATTTTTTTGTACAAAAAATACTTCACCACCATATGATGATTTAAAAGATATAATTGAAGCTGCTGGAGGAAAATTAATTGATAAAATTAATATGAATAAACCAGGAAAAGATATAATTTGTGTTGTTGCACAAATATATAAAAATGAATATGAAGATTTATTTAAAAAAAGTGTACCAATTGTTAGTGAAGAATTTATTTTAAGTGGAATATCAAAACAAAAACTTGATTTTGATTCGTAAGTATCTTTTTTTTTTTGTTCTTAAGATTATATTTCAAAATACAAAAAAAAATATTTATTTTTATCGTTTTATAGTTTCTCTTTATTTCAAAATGCTACAACGGTTAAATCAAATAGTGGAAAATAATATTAAACATTTTTCTTTTTATTTCTTCTCTCTCTCTCTATTGTCATGTTTGTATATATCTTTATCTGTTAAGAAAACAAAACATTTATTTTTCCTTTAACAAAAACAATTATATTTGATGTGTATACTTGTATAATATATATTAAATTGTCTATGATTAGATCCATTGATTTACTTTTTTTTCTTTCTTCTTTCAGCTATTAAGTAAATAAAATCATAATATTAAATAAATCATATATTGGAAAATATAAAACTACTCAAATTCAAATTGAGAAATGGTTTATTTAATCATTTCTTTTCAAACGAATATTTTATTATTTAACAGCCATATTTAGATGTTCGCTGGAGAATACTAGAGACTAACGGGTGGCCCATAAATAATTATACTGTTAGTATTTTCGAAATTTCTACTCTATTATCACTTTGACTAAAACACATTTTTTATCAAAAGATAGCGCTTGAAATTCTCTACAAAACCATATATAACTAGATCCTAAAACTGTTTTAGATACACTTGAAAAATAAAGACATACAAAAAGTTGAAAAAAATAACGGGATGGACATAATGAAAGGTCGCGCTTTGCATATAATGTTTTCATTAGTTTACCCTATTAAAAAACAAAATATACCAAAAGATGCAGCGTGAAAAGCTCTACAATTTACAAGGAACAAATTATAAAAAGAGGAAATAAAAAAACGAAGTCATCTTGTACCAAAAAAACCAATATTATTTTTGCGCGGTCGAAATGTGATCGTTCAAAACTTTGTCCATTTTGAAAACAAAGAGTGCAACTATAAAATAAGTGGTCTTGTGTAAATTGTAGAGCTTTTCACGCTGCACCTTTTGGTATATTTTGTTTTTTAATAGGGTGAACTAATGAAAACATTATATGCAAAGCACGACCTTTCATTATGTCCATCCCGTTATTTTTTCCAGCTTTTTGTATGTCTTTATTTTTCAAATATATCTAAAACAGTTTTAGGATCTAGTTATATATAGTTTTGTAGAGAATTTCAAGCGCTATCTTTTGATAAAAAAAGTGTTTTAGTCAAAGCAATAATAGAGTAGAAATTTCGAAAATACTAACAGTATAATTATTTATGGGCCACCCGTTATTTAATGATATTAAAATGCGGGTGAATGTGTTCTCTTCATCCTCACGCCTATCAATATCTGCCAGAGGTTTCACTTAGTGTCTTGCAACTGAATCGGCTGCTTGGCACGATCCGCAGCATGGGTTCGAGTGCAAACTCACTGGATCGGATCAGGATTTGAGGTTATACACGGCAATTAATGAGATCTCGATGTTTCAAACTGCTATAAGTAGAGAAATTAGAGCTCGTCGGGTCTGAGTCCAGAAATTTTTGAACCCGATGAGCTCTTTCCACACAATATTAATCAATCAGGTTCGAATCCAAAATTTTTATCGATTAGGTCCCGGCCTGAAAATTTTCTAATAGAAATGAAAACCGTATTCGATGATAACTGAGCAATGTATTGTACTTGAGAATAGGTCGCAGAAGTGGAAAATGATATTGTTTTACTAAGAGAATTCGTTTTTAATGAACATTCATCTCTAGATGATGAAGAATCATATGACAAAGTAAATGAATGCATGAAGAGGAAAATGAATGATCAAAAAAGTAAAGATGTATTATATAGTGATGAAAAAGTACTCAGAAATCTATTCGCAACTATGAACATTTGCCTTCAATACTGAGTTCCATTTCAGCATTATCAGTAAATAGAAAATGATCAAATTTTAGAAGCAGAAAGACATCAAGTGACTCCTGAATCATTTGCTTTCTTGTGTAGTATAAGATGATATCTTCTATTTGTTGCTGTTTATGGGAGAAATTAAACAGTTGAAAACTGTATTAGGAAATCAAGGACTTTTCACCATAAAGAGATGTGTTTTGTTTTTTCATTTTTAATACCATCATATAATGATGGACATAAGTTTAAAGTAGTGATATTTTTAGTTTCCTTCTCGATGGTAATAACTAACAAGAATCTGAAAAAAAAAACTATTTGAGTAGCTAAAAGAATCTCGGTAGACCTAAAAAGTCCAACTTAACTGCTTGAATGAGAATGTTTGAAAAACCAAAACTTCCAAAATCTTTTTTCTCATATCTATTTGAAACTTTTAGAAAATGATTTTATTTGATAGAGAAAAAATGAGATATTTCGTCTGTCTTCATAATCTTCCTTCATCGAACTGTATTCAGTCTATAGAAAACTTCAAAGTGTCAAACCCGATGAAATCTTCGAAATTTTTTCAGGAACAAAAGAAAAATGTTCCTTGAATTTTCTGTAAATTAAATACAGTTCAATGAAGAAATATCATGATGAGATTAGAAACATCTCATTTTACTCAGAATTATTTATTCTATCAAATAAATGTCAGAAAACTAGTTTATGATTTAGATTTTTCCTAACTGTTATCATAGAGATCTTTTTGAAAATTTTGTTTTATTTAAGATTCGTATCATAGACTTGACCAGAGGTTTTCCAACTTCAGTCAAAATTAAAAATGTCGAAAACTTAGATGACAATTTCTGAATATATTCTCGTTTAGAAAATTAAAAGACTAACCAGCTTAAAATTCGAATCAAACATTTACTATTGAAAAAGTAAGAATGAAAGACAAACAAAAAATACTTTGAAATTTTAGTTTTATCGACCTTAAATAATGTTCCTATTGTATAATCAAAATGTTTTTTCTTTGCTATAATACAAGACAAACTCTTGATGAGATCAAATGCTATCACAGATTGATCATTCCGATCATCTAAAACAACGTGATTACTGCTCTAAGTAATGAAAAATGATCGCCATTTTCCGTCAGCTCGGATTACGGGTCGTTTTTCCTCGAAACGTAAACGACGCCGTTTAAAGTGGTTTTCGAAGGATAACGATGAGTAGTATCAGGGCCATATAACTCTATTCATCTATTACCCCAGGACGAGCATTACGACAGTCGTTAACGGCCGTATACAGCGTTGCTTGTCATCATATTTGCATAAGTCTCTCCTTCTAACTTTCCATAAACACAAGAAACAATATTTGTTTATTTACATAAAAGATTTACTCTTGAACATTTGATTGAGATAAAACTAAATAACAAAAATAAATATATTTTATTTAAATAAAATGTTTACTACTAAACTAGATTATAGACTATTAGAAAGTATCTAATGATGATTTTAAAACACTTATATTAAAACGATGAAAAACAGTGTGAAACAAGGCAAAAAAATCGGCAGTCTTAAAGAAAGTTATTTCCGCTAGTACGTAAATGATCATCGTGACGTGATAGTCGTTTTATTCGATATGAGATAATTATTATAATGTACTTATTCGACTTTGTAAATCTTATATATTTGAATGATTTCGATAAATACGAGAATCTACTCTATTATGATAACTTAGAATTGGTGGGTTTTTCTTCTCTTCACCCACACTCCATAATCCGATATTGATCGTGCAATAATAACGTCTTTCAAAGCAGTTCTTCTTTCATAATTTTACTTTTATAAAGTTTTTTTTTTCGATATTTTGTACTTTCGACCGAAGTTGAGTTTACCGGGTCGAACTCTGTTCAGCCCATTAAGATCTCTGGTACCAACATCCTCGAAAAAAACAAATAAATATGAAACATCCCATGTCGCACGCTTATAATTTTCGGTTCCAGCTATAAATAATTGCAGAGAGTGTTTTCTACCAAAATTCGAATTATTTATTAGATAGAATTCAAATTAACTGAGATGAATATATTTTACTAATAACAATTTCTGTAGCGCCATCCGTAATATAATTGAGACTCTGTGGTTAATACAGATGGCTCAGACGTATCAACACGTTTTGATACAACACTTTCAAAATCATCGGTAGTTATTACATAAGATATATATGATTCAAGTTAATTCGTTTATTAAGTTTCTTCCTGGTTTTTTTTCAACTTTGCTCTTCATGAAAAAGAAATAATTTTTTGTTTTATCTTATGAATATAAATTCTATAAATAAAATAAACATATTGAATCGTTTATCATTAACTAAATAATAATTTATATTATTTCGACCAAATATCAAATTTTATTCAAATGATAATTAAAAAAAAACAGACAAAATCAAATTCATCATATTAATATACAACATCCACACCTATATATATATAATTTATATACAATGCGTATCACAGGATTGTGCTGCTTTGATGGCTTGTACTCGTACATAAAGACAACAAATAAAAAGAGATTTTTATCGAAGTTGATATTAATTCATTTTGTTAATGAGAATGGATTTCTTCAATAAAAAATTATTTCTTCATCAATTAATAAACAAAAAAAGAAATGATGGCTTATATTCCAACATACTTCAATCTATAACAAAAAAAAAAAAACAAAGTGTCAAGTTTAATTTTATGTAGAATAAATGAACAGAAAAAAATATAGGAATAATATGCTTATGATATATAGTTCTTATGCAAGTTACTTATCTCATTCTTAGGTAACATTAGACGATGAAACAAGGCTCATATCTTGCTATCGTCAACATTATTTTTTTAACATACTCGGAAATATGCTTTATTAGGTTTTATTTTATAATCTTTCTTAAGTATAGAAAAAAAAAAAAAGAAAATTCAATAGCAATTGCCTTGTCAGATTTGTTAAATAGAAATTGATTCTTTCAGGTATGATGGCATAATACTAAGCAAAGAAAACGATAAAATGTTTGAAGAAGGAACATTTATAACTTTCTGTTCGCTTTTTTTTCTTCTTCAACATAGATTTAAATCATTCATTTTCTTTCTTTCTTTCTTTCAATCACCCTCAGGTGATGGTGTGACGTTAGACGTAGTAAAATTTTATTATGCAAGTGCATTTATTTGATAAAGAAAAAGAAAGACTTTCAGTAAGAATGACATCCTCTTGCCTATCGGACATTTAAAAGAATGTTTGTCATCATTCGAAGAATGATGCGTGTAATATAGACAATG